CCGAATTCATCAGTATAAAGACAAGAGAATTTTATATGTTGAAGCAGGCTACAGATAGAATTATGGACACTCAAACTCCAACACAGCTTTACACGGAAACAAGGCTAAAGAACTACTCAATCAAGACTCAAACTTTGCATAAGGAATAAGCATCCTCATCAAATGGTTCAACTTAATCAGAAGAATGGTGTTTGTTAAAACCTGTTTGGTAAAATAGTTAGCCTATCAGCCAATTTTGGCTTATTTGACCACTATTAATTGTTTGACTTGGTTAAAAAATAATATAAGTGTTTGGTTAATTAGCTTTTTGTAACTCCAAAATGCTAAAATTCAAAACGAACCTTAAACAACTTTTTCACTTGGCTTTTTGAGAAAAGAAATTATACCAAACAGCTATCGACTAATTTACCAAACCTTTCTACAACAGCTAATGTTATAAACTAGTTATACCCTCTAATTAACCCAATCAGCTAACAGCTAACAGCCATTTACCAAACAGGGCCATGCTCTCTGAAGTTTGCCCTTGGTTTGAAAAAAAAAAATTTAAAGAAGTATATGGGCAATATGGCCTTTCTTACCGTAAGCATGGGCCAAAATGTTGCCTTTAGTTCACTGAAGATACTGGTAGGGGATTCAAGACGTAAAAATCCAAGAACTGTGAAGTAAATGCTGTTCCAAATTGCTGACCAAACAGTTTGATCAAATGCAACTTTGGCAGGTACCACCCACCAATCATCAAAAGGAAAGAGTGCCTGTAGTGAGAGTATTACCATACGATTCAGTCAGATTCAAAGAATGTATCAAGGGTACAAATCTAAAAGATATAGATCCATAACAAATACCTCACAGAAGTGATAGTAATAGTGAGATAAGGATCCATGTAGTGTAAATCCAGTTAGACCTGATCTGAACATGCGTGCACGATCAAATTCAAAAAGCGGTTTCCCTTCATAGCACTGCAGTTACAACAGTAAACATATTAAATATAATGGTCACCAACAATCACAATTGCAAGTGCTAAGAGGAGTATTAAATGCCACTGACCTGAGCTATCCAATCCCCTAGAGAATAAACCACTCCACTTATCACCATCTTCGCCAAAACGGGGTTTTCTTTAAGCGCTTCCTCATATGCACTCCAGTTGTGCTGGGGTGCATACCTCAATATCTCAAAGAGGGTCCATCCCTAACAGAGGAAAGGGGAAAAATGAATTATCTTTGCCATATGCTAAACTAAGATCAAAGAACTACATAAGCAGAAATTAATCTAGATAACCCGCAAGGGTAGCTCGGTTAGTTCCTAGGTGGCAAATTTTGGGCAAGATCCAGGATCGAGCCTGGGTGGACATCAAGTACTGATCCTCCCACCTAATGGGACGCTAAGTCATTGTGATTTACCACCCCCACAAATCCGGTCGGGTCAGGGGAGCCAGGGCGAGGAATTTCGTCTTTTGTGGGCAAGAAATTAATCCATGGAAATGGAAAGAAACTTTGAATGCAAATATAAATGTATCAGCAAGCACTCAAAGATATCAAAATCAGCTGAAAAGTGCTAATTACACAAAACACAAAGCACAGATTTAGGCCCCTTTCTCCTAATTTTGTTGAATTTCCAATGTTTAATCATATCAGTCAAGAATTTGAAGCAGAATAGCAGATATAACACTAATCAACAGCTAACCTATAATGTTTTTATTTTAGCAAAAGTGAAGGATCTCAAAGTGTTCTTCTCTTCAGCACCAAAGAAAACACTCCGAATTTGAAAGCTTTCAAACCATAAAATATTGCAATCTCTTTAAGACAGGGCCTATCAAATCTCCAAATATTCAAATCTTTAATTGCCAATTTCGCATAAACATATAAGTCTTCAAGATTTTTTTAAAAAAAATTAAATTAAATACTTGGTAACAGTAAATCAGGCGGACTTACATGCCAGTAGTTATGGTCTATGGTGAGCAGCTTAGTGATAGCGAAAGTGCCGGCGGCCAAAACAATGGTAGCGTTGATAGCTCTATCAACAACCTTCTCCATACCCAACTCTTCTCCGGCGCCGCCGCTCGAAGAAGCCGCCGACGACGACGACGAAGAGGAGCCAAACCCGGTGGGCCCTTCGAACGACAGCCGCCCTTCATTTCCAAACCCACCCACCACCACCACCTGATTCACGATACTGTCAATATCGCCACCGCCCTCGGCCTCTCTCTCGGTGGCGTCGACGACGCCGCCTTGCTGGTCCGTGCTGTCGCTGCTCTGCACCGGAATCACGTCCAGCTCCTTCGCCGCCGCGGCCGCAAACTGCTTGGAAACCGGCCTGGGGAATAGCTGGAGCTTGGTCGGCTTGAAGTGGGATGGGGAACCGGTCTTTGGGTTGGGTTTGGATAGAGAACGGAGGGTTTGAGGCGTGGGCAGGCCGTTAATGGTGGCCATTTGTGGAGGAAACGGAGAGATTGCTGATCAGTGATCACGATTCCACTGAGTTTCTCCGAGTCGAGCCGCCATGTGAGAGACTCGCTCGAGTTTTATATGGGAGACTGTGCATCTGATCAAGTGTTTCGCGGATTATGATCTTTGTATGCACCTTTTAACGCTGATCGGTGATAGATCACAAAAACGTTGACTTTTGGTGGGACTGTTAATTACTTTTCTTTAAAAAAAAAAAAAAAAAAAAACTTTAGTGATATCAATTTCGTCGGATGAATTCTAAACTCATAACATCCCGCTTTTAGAATTATTATGGAGGTAAATGGCAAGTACGGAGTAACTTTTTTTCTTAAACTTGGGTGATCTCAACTTCATCGGATTAATCCTACGTCCACAGAACCTCGCCCCTAAAGTTATGCAGATGTAAATCATAGGTCGAGCAATCAGTCTTCCGATCAGATCCTAGTATACATGTGCGCACAAGGAATCCAATTCATACTTTTCAGTATCTTGAGTAATTTAGTTATAACCATTAAGTCAGGCAATAAACTAACTATGCTGAATCTCTAGACAACTACTTTTATTCGAACATCCTTATTAGTTTGATTTTTACACAAGTTTTTAAGAGACAAGTAGGCCATCACTTTGCGGCCACCCTCAACATGCCCATTGGACGCACATAGTACACACACTCACTGAGCACGATTTGTAAGCTTAAGATACATCAATTATTATTTTTTAAAATATTATTTAGTGAGGCGGACACTAAAAGACGAAAACATATTCCTTCGATAAGAATCCACCATTCTCTATCATCTTTCTTTCTTCCACATAAAATTTCAAACTTAAAAAATCTCCTCAAAAATCATCCTAAAAACTCTATTGGGTACATATTGGCTAGTGAATAGGGATGGAAGTCGACGTAAAGTGTAGATCCACCTAAGAGGGCGAAAACTGGAAGAGTGTAGATCTGGAATCTGTCCGGTCCAGTGGGTCCACCTAAAGCAATTGAGGCCAGAATTTCTTTTTGATTTTTTTAGATAAATAAAAATCAAGCATTCAAAAAAAAAAAAAGAGAGAGAGAGATAAATAAAAATCACAATAAAGATTATTATATTCACAAAAAATATACATATAATTACAGAAATTCAGTCAATTTGGAATACGAGTATACGACAATTTTGTTTGACGGGACTAACAAGTAGCAACTTAGTTTGTTTACCTTTCTTTTTAACACCCACTTAACACTAAAATTAACGAAAAATTATTTTAACTTAAAATTCAATAGTTGAAGGAACACTTTATATGCAACTAAAAGTCAAGAAACTAATTTTAAAAAAAAATCATAATCGAAAGGCCATTTTAAGAATTAACTCCACTTAAATACTAAAAGTGTTATTTTCTTGAAATTTTATAATTTATTATCATATAAACAAATTTGTGCGCACAAACAAAAATACATATATCAAAGCTAATGTGCAGGTATTTCATTTAATATCTTAAATATTATTTTTTAGATTTCTTTTCATAAAATTTGTGTGTAATCGTTTCACATGAGATAATGTCGATATCAATCTAAAAAAAAAAGTATAATGGAATGTAAGCCACAAATGCAGAACAAAGAAATGTTAACAGCTGACTATTGAATCTTCAGACCATGTTCCATTGTAATTTGGCATCTTCTTTCTTTACTCCTGTTATGTACACGAAGGTTTTTTGTTGGTTTTCAGTTCTTATCTTACATGTATCTTAGCTTATATTATATATTTGTATGTCTGTTATTGTTGTGAAAATAATTTTTTTTTTCTTTTTGTTAGTTCTGGAATTGCAAGTAATTGATTGTATATAATATTTAATGTTTTGAAATTATAGTTATGATTAATCTAAAGCCAAATCCTCTCTGAGAAACAAACTCTGTTGTTCTATTTACAATTAGGATTGCAATACTTTTCTTAAATAAAGAGGGATTAACTTTCCTAAAATAAACTAGGACTATGTGGTCTAATGGTACCCGGGTTAGACTTTCATTTGGAAAATTGTAAGTTCGAGCCTTAGTGGATGCGTTATTGGTTCTTTGTGTTTTAGTATGTTGAGAAAGTATATGAACAGATACTACATATTGTAATAGAGTCAGTAGAGCATTCAAAAACTTTCCCAAAATATATAAATATGTGCAAATATTTTTTGTTTAAATATGCATGAATATTGTTTTCTCTGTTCTATTTATACATTAAAAACAAACATTTAGTATAATAAAAATGAATATTTATCTATGATATCTACGTTACAATGTGACCCATATTTCATAACATAATTTGCCTTTCAGACCGACAAATTGGTCCAAAACGACGTCGTTTTGTATCTTTAAAAAAAAAAAAAAAAAAAGAAATTCCACTTCCCGTTTTTGCCGTTAACTTCTAAAAAAAAAATCTTGTTTCGAATGTACAGAATTGTATAGTAGAATACACATAAACTCCTAACATAATACATAATTAATAATACATAATACACATAAACTCTTAACATAATACACATAAACTCTTAACAGAACACGCATAAACTCTTAACAAATCAGAATACATCTAAACTCTTAACAAAATACACATAAACACAAGTGTAAAAATAAAAAATAAAAACTGTAACGGACATAATGGCGTCAATTGCGTCAACTCTCCACACAACTTATAAAAACGACGTTGTTTTGAGCCAGAACACACAATGTAGTGTGTGTCCTAGTACACGGTATAACGATTATATTATTTCAGACCCATTATGGCCGTAGCTCGTAATTCCACATGAATAAGATGTTTGGTGGTCCAATTAAATAACATTTATTGTTATTATTATTATTGTGGACAACGAAGCTAATAGCTATGGCACATTTTGGAATATCTAAAATGTAGATGATCAAACATGGTGTGAATGCTTGGCTGCTTTGCTAGCCACGCAAATATTCAAGGTCATCCCTTCACTCCTCCACTCCTTACCTGTTTTTTATATGGTATTTATTAGTTGAGGCAAAATCTAATTTTAGATTTTTATGAGGTGTACATGTTTTTATTTTATTTTTTTAAGTTAAGATTACATTATATTATCAATTTATCAACGTAACTTGACTCAATTAAAACAAAAATATAAATAAAAGCATGTGAATATCAGGTTATTGGGTTCAGATATCTTTCAAAGTTCACTCTTTGTCCTTAAATGAATTTCTTTCTTACTTGTCTTTGTATGCATTCTAAAGGGAAAACAAACTGAAGTGCAATGTCCTTTCTAGGCTTGGCTCTCAATTAAAGTATATTGTTGGACGTTAGTTGGGTCGGTCGAGTTCAACCTCTACTCGATTCGAGACATGATGTTGCGACTTACCATGTAGAATGTAGTTAAATGGTTAATATTATCCACATACTTATCATAAATTGGTTTTAAGAAAGATATGACAACCATATAACCAAAGAACTCCGTAGTTGAGCGTGGTTGATTTACAGGATGGGTGACCTAGGAAATAAGTATAGCGTAGCGCTGAGAGCCTGAGATACAACATATATGAAAAATATATTTTTTTTGTAGAAGAACAATTACTTTAATAAAACCAATTAAACAAAGAATACAAAAACAAGGAGGACATACCCTTAGCCTTGCAAAACCAAAATGACATATACGCCCTGACTAAAATGGTCGTTCAGAGGCAAATCAGGCGAGCAGAAAAAGGCACGCATGTCACAGAAGACAACAAAATGACACACAGGCTACCTCAAGATATGCACACAAGTTGTCATATGAATATAATATGACACAGGCTGTGTAACGAATAAAATCGGCTCACATGCCATCAACAAGATTGATGGTTTTGTCAGGATCGAGTCCACCGTAAATCAAATATGGAAGTACAAAACGGGGTAGAAAAATAATAGTATTATTTATTAAGCATTATGCTAAAAAGAAGACGTACAAAATTCGAGATACTCACCCAAAACGACGGCCCTAATAAGAAATAAATGCTACAAGGAGTACAAGTTATAATCCAAATAGTGAACTATAAATAATTAGGAAATATATTGTAGCTAATAGGAGTCAAACCCTAGTGTTCCTGTTAGAAGTTAGGAACCCATAGCACTATGAAGGATTGTCAAGACCAAGGAATGTCTTTTAAGGAGAGACAAGGGAGCCTTATATAGCGTTAAAGATCTTCTGGATGCTTGACAAGTGTACGACATCGGCTAGTCTTTATTCTTGGCCACACGTGTCCCCCTACTTTGCTTCCAGCGCACTTCCCATACGTACGTGCAGTGGAACTTCTTGCCCTACAATATACAAGATAAGCAGTGACTTTGTGGGGTGAGACATGTGTTGCTTTGTGGGGCTTGCAAGTTTGATACCCCCACGCAACAACTCTTTAGCTTATTTTGCTCAAGGCTCCCTCATTTCCTTAGCACGATAGATTTCTATTATTGTTATTATTAGGCCAACACCTCATCAATAAATATCGACATCCAGCTTCGGTCAAGGCTTTTCCAATAAAATGGGTTCCCGGAATCCCATGGCGCCATCATAAGTCTCTCACTTTCTTTGGTTGTCTTTGACGAACAAAGAAAGTATAGACACCCCCAACATTCTATATGCCTTGACTCTCTCAACTCATGGTTTGAAAGGCTCTCTTATATTCGGTTTTTACAGCTTTCCATACACGTTGTTCGTGAGGACAACTTAGCTCTCACACGTACCCTACAAGAAAAAGAAAGAAAAGAAAGAGATTCTTGCCGCTTTTTCTTTGCATGGGCTCACTGAGACACCTCGCCCCGAAGGGTAACTTAGCGTCCGTCTTCCCTTCATGTGGGCTCACTGAGAGTTTGAGACTTCTCGCCTCGAAGGGTAACTTAGCGATCCATCGAGAAGCGGAATATATCGACCATTGAGATGCATGATTTAAACGCATCGACTGCTGTGGAAGCGCGATAAAATATGTTGACTGCTGAGAAGCATGATAATAATATGTTGACTGTTAAGAAGCGAGATAATAATATGTCAACCGCTGAGAAGTGGGATATTAATATGTCGACCGCTGAAAATTGAGATAATAATATGTTGACCCTTGAGAAGCGGGATAGAAATATGCAGACTATGGAGAGGTGGGATAATAATATATCGACTGCTGAAAAGCGGGATAAAAATATATCGACCTCTGAAAAGCAAAATAATAATATGTCGAAATAATAATATGACGTCACCACTCACTACTGTCGTCATCTAGTTATCGCTATTAATTAATGACAAGTTTTCATCATCCTGTCTACTAGGCACTGCTACATCCTTCCATATATGGAATAATGTTGCAATGATTTTCTTCCAAACTTGGAATAAGGTCAAGATGGACTTCTTCCAAACCTTGGAGAAGGCAACGATAACTTTCTTCCAGACCTAGAAGAAGGTCAAGACAGTCTTCTTCGAAGTCTAGAAGGTCGTGGCCTTCTTCTAAGAGAAAGGTGAGAAAAGGTTGACAATAACAACAATATATACGACGGACAGTTAGTGGCAATAATTCAACCAAATTTAGAAAAAAAAGTTTTTTTTTTTTTTTTTTTTAAAAAAAATTCTTATCATTATTACTAATTAAAAATAAAATAAAATATAACATATCATATCATTTTAAATATATATGGAAGCCACATTATCCTGTCAAATGAGCTTGAAAAATCTAGTCATCATATAATTAGTTGGTTACCTTAAGGTCAGGGGCGGAGGCAAAGGTATGCCAAAGGGGGTCCTTGGCCAAGCGATCGAGTTTAGTCAACATTTGCTGTAGAAGTAGCTCCCGCTCCAGACTTACACACAAGACTGACTTCGGCCAGGTTCTTTTATCAATCTCCCCCCCCCCCCCCCCCCCACCCCCATTCCCATTTTTTTAAAAAATATTAAATATAATATTAAATTTTAAAAAAAATATTATATAGAATATTAAAATTTTGTTGTTCCTTCAAAATATTTGCCCCCCTCCCCCCTCCTGCTTAAATTAATCCTACAAGCTAAGTTATAAACGTCTTCATCTTCTCAACATCTCCCGTTGTCTCCAATTTCAAATTATGTATTCACTATATATATTGTTGACTCACATTCAAATTATTAAATCTCATTTAACCTATCTACTAGTTTCTCTCTCTAGAACCATACATATATGCAGTATATACGCTATAACAAGATAATTTATCATTAAAATTTATGCATATTTTTCAAGTTAATTTATGTTTTTGTTTTTGTTCTTGTTTTTGTTTTTTGTTTTTTGTTTTTTGTTTTTTGTTTTTTGTTTTTTGTTTTTTTTTTTTTGTTTTTTTTTTGTTTTTTTGTTTTTTTGTTTTTTTTGTTTCTAGCTAACTACATGTTTGGTTAATTTTTGTTTCATATTCTATTGTTTATTTTAAATAGTGGTTTTGTTTTATTCTAAATAATGGATATGAAGGTGCATTTGTTTGGTTAATTATGCAGATTTGTGGTTACGTGATAAATGTTGTATTTAATTTAACATGCATAATAATGTAAAAATTGTGTAGTATATGTATTTAAGAAAATAATTGCTATTATGTTATGTTGTGAAGATGGTAGTTTTCAATAAATAATCAATAATCTTTTTAAAACATTCGTGAATTTTTTCATTTTTTCAACCGTACAAAGCAATGTGCATTGAAAAACATATTACAAAATAATTTAATATAGATTCAATTATAAATGATTTATTCTAAACTTTATTAAATTTGTAATGTAATGATTATTTTAAAATATGTTAACTGGATATCAATGTATTTGATTTAGTATTTCAATCGTAGTTGACGCCCTGCACTATTCAATCCTGGCTCCGCCCCTGCTTAAGGTAACCTACAAACCAAAGCACTTTTATAACTTGAGGTTTTGATTAGAACTTTTTGAAGTTTAAGGGTACAATTACACAATTCAATATAATTAGAGAGTTTGTTTGACCCTTAATCGCCTTATGCCATATTATTATCCCAACAACATGATAATCCCCCTGTACCATTTAATCTGTCATACTTATTATTCATTGGTCAAACCAACTATTTATTTTTTTGCTTATTTTTATTAGCATTTTCTTATGATTTTTAAGTTTGAATTTTTGTGTCTAATAATACTTTTAATGTAGTTTCTAAATATATAAATTTTACATACTAATTCTAAACTTAATATTATGAAAAATCAAGGTTGCAAAACACGTTAGGCGCCGAGGGGGCGCCAGTTTTTTTTTTTTTTTTTTTTTTTTTTTTTAAATGTAAAAAACAAATAATAATTAAAAATTATCAAAATTCACTAATAAAACATAAAGTTCTCATCGTTTTTTCTTATAAACTATTTATTCAAGTAGCTATAAAATTGTTTAAAATATTGTTGAAATCATCTAAATACATAAAAAAAAACTAAAATTAAAAGCAAAAGAAGTATTTTTTTTTTTGAGAAATTGGTGGGGCAAACCGCCTTTGGCGTGGGTAGATCTCGAAAAAATACGCGATTTTAAAAAAAATTGTCCAAAATGGAACCGAAAAAGTTATGCCTTAGCAAAGTTTTTAACCTAAACCCTAAAAAAAAAAAAAATTACCGATTCGGCCGGTTAGGCGGCCGCCTAGACCTCCTAGCCGCGGCCGGGCGGCGCCTAGGCGTGATTTTTGTAACACTGTGAAAAATTAATGTGTAAATAACTTCAGA